CTTCATTATTTCCTTTCAAATCTATGAAAACTTTTATTCCCAATGAAATTTGCCCAATACTAATTTAGTCTTGGTGGGGGGTTTTGTTATTATTATTATTATTTTTTAATCTGCATCCTTCTCTTCTCTTTCCGTGTCTTCCCGGCTCTGCCACGTCCCATGTTTACCCGCTCGGATCGCGTGTTCTCCGGGACGACGCGCGGTTGCCCCGTTTGGCGGATAATCGCGTTGGCCCCGTGGCCGGGCTGCCGGCGCCGGAGCGGACGCGGGCCGCGAGCGGTGCGGATTTGCATGCCGGGGCTGTAATCTGTGGTGAATCGCTTTGCGCTGCTCGCGCGCAAGGGAAGCTGCTTAAAAAACAAATTGTGCTGCACGGCACTAATGGCGCCAGTAAATCCAGCTGGGCTTTCCGCTCGCCGAGCCAGGAGCCGCGGGAGCCACCGGAGCGCTGAGCCCAGGCCAGCTGCCCATGGGGTGACCCCCGTCCCCGCTGAGCACGCCGGCTCTGTGCCGCATCCATGCCGGTGCCGGTACCGGTGCCGGTGCCAGGTCGGCAGCGCTGCTGCTGCAGGACGGCGTGCCCGGAGCAGACCCTTTTTAGCTGCCGCCCCATGCCTGCACTGCCTGAATTTTGAGCAATTCCATTAATTTCGGTGAAGTGCGACCTGATTTATCCCCACATGTGCAAGAAGGGAAGCAAGCGCAAGGCAGGTGGAGAAAGCAGCTTATTAGGAGAGCAAATAATTCACAGTGAATAATTTCTCCAGTAAACACAGCTTCTGTTTCTCAGTGCCTGTAAAGGGATTGTGGTTTCTGTGAATCTGCTAGTGTCCAGAGGTGATAGGGTCATTTTTTTTTCCCTTTTTCCCTGCAGGTGGGTGACGGCGCCCTGAGCCATGTTTCCTACCCACGATGGGTCGCCCAGGCTGCAACCTGCCTGCGCAGCCGCAGCCCCTGTTCCGCAGCGAGTGTCTCTAGGGGCCGATGCTCAGAGCCCCGTGTCCCCACGTGCGGACTGCGGCGAGGCGGCCGCTCGCGCTCACGAGGCTGCGGTGTTTGTCACCTCTGCAGCCTGGTGCACGGCCATCGTGCCTGCATCCAAAATCTTACTTATGGCATGTGCTGGCCCAGCTGAGCCTCTCTGCCCAGCCCAAGGCACAAGGAGCAGCCCATGTCACGGGAAACACGGCAAGCACGAGGACACGTGCTAATAGCCCTCTGGCACAAAGACTGTGCAGGGAAACCTTGACTGCTTCGTTGCTGACAGGAGCCACATGAGCCAAGCTGCAGCAAGCTCATGTACTTGCAGGAGTATTTGGGGAAATTCCTTGGCTCTATCCCTGCCTAGTGCACTTTAATTTCATGAGTGAGTCCTTCTAGAGTGGCATTTCTTTTGTGCCTTCAGTAGCCCTCAGCAAGGTAGGTAAAAGAGAAGAGGAAGCCAGGAATGTAATTTATGGGAGGAAAGTCTGCAGCAATCAGATGTGTTGTCCTCTGCAAAGTACTCCTGCAACTTCAGTGTGCGCTCCTCGAGCAGCATTTGCAGCTAATGTCACGATGGGTTTCTTCCAAAAGCTCGCTCTGAGGAAAAGCATAGCTAAAAAAAAGAATACTTAAGTATGATGCAGACAGAGACCAATCATCACTCCAAACAGCACGGTCCTGGAGTGTTTGTGGTGGAAACACTAATTTCCCATTGCCAGCAATGCAGTCTGCAACATGCCTGAAAAAGCTGCTGTTCTTGCAGCCCCCAAAGCAGCCCATTTCTGAGGGGAACCCTCGCCAAACTCTGTGGGAGGTTTGCTGTTGGCTTTGCCCGTGTTTGCATCCATTAAACTCCATGCAGCCTTCAGAGAGGAAGGGAAAATAAATACCTCAGGATGGGGTTTGGTTTCCCAAAATACAACAATAATAATAAGCAGCTCAGCAACAGCAAACTAACGGGTCAGGACTGAAGTCCCCGATTCCCAGGGCTTTGGCAGCCCACGCAAATAACCCTGGTCCAGATGCTAGCAACTATGGCCCATCTCAGAGCCAGGCACAGGCCTGAGGAGCAAATTCCCCTGCTCTTGGTGGTTTCCCCTTTTCCCAAGAATTGTATTCAGCGCAGTAGATAAATCTGCACGGCAGGAGGAGGCGCGGGCATCGCCGCTCTGGTAAATCACACTGCTCAGGAGCTCGGCAGATTAACTCCCCAGCCAGCCCCGCTCTTTTAGGGGAATCCTGCTGCTGGTCTCCTTCTTTTTTTTTTTTTTATTATCCAATTAGCTAGAAATGTTAATAAGAAATTTCCTACCTTATAAGAACAACCGAGCAAATTTTCTGCTGTGCCTCGAGTGGCATAAATAGACCTTTTTGCACGTAACTTCAGTGTCCTGGGACTGGTTTGTGGATGTATATTGCTGCGTAGAAAGATTATAATTTACAGGTGATTGTTTGGAGGACTTCAAATTACCACCACTCATATATATGAATATATAAATAAAGAATGAGGCTTCTCGGGAGATTCTGCATAAACAATTTTCTTGGAGAGAAAAAGGATTCTCAATAAAAAAAAATACACAGTATTTTTTTATATCTATGCCACTGCATAAAGTATTGGTAGACTATTTCAGTCCTTCACTTCTATTTCAGCATTTCTGGACCATTTCCTCTAACATTTTATCTTTTTTCTTCCATCATATAAATCCTCATATATTTCATTCCCTGTGGACTCCAGCAAGTTTGCAATCTAAAGGCGAAAGGATCCTGTCACAGGAGCCCTGGCTTTGGGGGCTTTACTGCATGAATACTCACTCTAAGAGAAACGCGAAAGGAAAGGATTAACTCCAGCTACCTTAATGAAATATCATTTCAGCTTGTGAGTCTCTCCCTCTCGCTCACGTGCACACGCACACGCACGCAGAAGAAGGAGTATTTTGGGAGGCCACTTGTGCCTTGGTTGCCTTGATGATGGGGAAACCCAGTTTGGAGATACCCCTCTAGGAGGTGCTGGGAACATTCACCTTTATTAATCACGATTTCCTCTTTAAAAAAAAAATCTGGATATTCGATCTGGATTTAACTTTGAAGGATGTTTTATATAAAGCTTTTGTTTTGTTTTGTTTCTTCTTCCCCCCGTCTTGCTCATTATGCACCCAAAGCACATCGCCATGCTCACCAATGTGATGTGACGTGGTTCAAGGGACTGTTCCTTCCCCGACTGTCCAGTCTCCACTTTGAACTCATGCAAGCTTCCAAGCATTTTCAACACATCCTCCGTGATTCTGCGGCCTTCAAAGGTATAGGCACTTTAATGCAAGTTTAGATCACTTACTTCTTTGTGTGCTCTGAAAATCTCACACTTAGTGGCAGCTGACGGTCTTTCTCACCCAACAGGGAAGGGGTTATTTCTCAATCTTTTACTGAGGCCAGCAATAAAATCTGTCTTGAACTACTAGCTTGGATTTCTTAATATAATTATATGGCTTAAGCTGAGCAGTACCTGTGTGGAGAACAAGGGATATCTATGTAGGAATAATATATTTGTAATTGAGACAAAATTCTTCCCGGAATTTTCCCAGTCCTCAGGCAGGATGTACTGGCTCCTTTGCTCACAAAATCTCTTTTGCTGCAGAGTGAAATCCGGGATTGCTGCTATCCCAGGTAGCAGTGAAAAGAAAGGAAGTGGGATGAGCGACTGTATATCACTGATCTCCTGGTCTCCAAATGATGATTCAGACTCATACAGAGATCTATAAAAGTCAGTGGTTTATTACGGTCTTGTATTTCTGCATTAACCCCCTCATTATCATCCCAAATGGGACGTAAATCTGGCGGCAGCACGTTGCCCTGGCCCGTGGGCCGGCATTTCCCTGCTCTTACCTGCAGATCTGGGCTCTGCTCAGCAGGAGGGGCTCCTGGCTTTGGTCTGCATCTGGGCTTGGGGGTGTTTGGGGGGTATTGTTGTTTCCACAGTGCTGACAACAAGGCAGGAGGGTCATTTTAGCCTCATAGCAGCCAATATAATACTACAATATGATCATAAGTGATCTAAATGCTTGTCCCCCAGCCTGGCTGGTCCCTCAGCTCAAGGTGATGGAAATATTCCACTCTGAACTGGTCACCATTCCTGCCTCTGCTCTGCTTGGGGAATCTGTGGCCTCGATCGCCTCGGCCACAGCCACCCGTGAGCAGTGGGGTGGCCCCGTGGCCCCAGAGCAGCCCAACACACAAATTTGCAGGCCCAGGTCCAGGCCGTGCTCTGGCCACCACGGTGTACAGCTCCCTGTGACCTCCGGATTTAGGGTTAAGAAGAAAAAAAAACAAAAAGGGATCAAAACCCTGCAATATATTGAAAAGGAACTTTTATAAGACATCCCTAGCTCGCAGCTTGTCGGAGGCAGAAATAATTGCCAGAGGAGGCTTGTGATCTTTTGAGCTTCGCCATGCTCATGAGGTTGCCTCCCCAGGAGCACGTGCCATTAGCAGGCGCCAACGTTTCCTGTAATTCAAGGTTAACAAATGTGCTTTTAAGCAATGGTGGAGCACATTCCTCTTAACAATGAGGTATAATTTACCTAAAATATAGCGGAAAGAAAATGCACCCTGTGCACCAAGGTCTCCAAAATCCCACAACACTTTCAGCCTCAGCAGAATGACATGGATTTGCCTCAGCCAAGACTTGTCCCCCTGATTGCTTGAAATGTTGAGAAGAGCAGCAACTTCAGTGTTTGAAAAATGATGCCTACATTTGAAAATAGAAAAGATGGAAACTGCTGACGTTAGAATTACAAGAACTGTATAATACTCTCTATACATATCGGGCCAATGTGTGTTGCTTTTATCAGCACTTCTTTGTTTGTCTAGTTCTTTTACTAGGACGAGATCAAATGAGCGATGGGGAAAGCAGAAATTATTTGGCTTCTGTGTAGCATGCAACACTTTTTCCACAGACACCTCTCTGTCAAAATGCGCGTGTCACCCCCCGGCTATTCTTACTGCAAGTTCCCGACGCTGTGATGAGTTTCCAACAGTTTGATGAACGGCACCAACGCTTGGTGAATCGGTCTCCTCCAGTCCCCCAGCAGCTCCGCTCTCGCCCACGTGCCCATGGAGCAGGTAGGAAGCTTTCCAGGCCTAGCAAGCGCAGCGCCGCCTCCACGAGGGCGGCTTCTCGCTGGCTTTGGCTTCACCACAAGTGAAAGGCACTTAGCAAATGTTTCTGGAACAAGAAACCCTCCGCAGTCGTCATTCATTTTCAGGCTGATAACTTAAATACTGTACTCCCGCATAAACATTTCGCGGGGATGGCGTATAAACGTTCCTAGTGGAGTGCACTTAATGTAATTTTGTTTGCCAAGTGGCTCTGCCTCCTCCCAAGCTCCGGCTTTGTGAGGGTTTTATTTAAATGGAGATATAAATTAATTGCCCTCGGCACAGTCTCTCATCCCAACGCTCTCTTCCATCCACACCTCGGATGAGCTGAAGGAGAGAGGGGGGAGACGTCGTGATAGCGGCTTCTGTCATGGCTGGTTGCTGCTGCAGACAGTGCTTGTTTTCTGCAAAAATTAGCAAAATATAAGTTTCAACGACCTCTTAAGCTGAGCCGTTCCTAGCACGTGTGAGCTTTCCTAAGATCAGCCCTTCTCTCTGTGCTGTCCGTAGCTGGGTTTCAAAGTTGACGTGGAAATGATGCAAAAACTGGTGACACCTGACATGGCGACAGGTTTGGGCCGTCCCCGAAGGGCTGGGAGGAAACGCAGCGACGAGCGAGCAGCCCGGCCGGCCCCGCTGCGGAGGGAGCTGCTGCAGCACCATCCCTGGCAGGTGTGTCTTGGGACCATCCCGTGGGTTTTGCCATGCGGAGCAGAGAGGGGAGACGTGGCCGGAGGCTCCCTGCTCATCGCGCTGCAGCCAGCGCCCTCCCTACCTGCCTCTCTCTGCCTGTTTTTTAACCTTTGAGATGAAAAACCTTCTGAAGAAGAAGGTTTATAAGGTTTGTGGGAGAGGTACACAAGAAGCAAATTAAAATTCCATAAATATATTTGCTGGCTGAAATTTATATATCCTGTAGGGGAGACGTGGCCGGAGGCTCCCTGCTCATCGCGCTGCAGCCAGCGCCCTCCCTACCTGCCTCTCTCTGCCTGTTTTTTAACCTTTGAGATGAAAAACCTTCTGAAGAAGAAGGTTTATAAGGTTTGTGGGAGAGGTACACAAGAAGCAAATTAAAATTCCATAAATATATTTGCTGGCTGAAATTTATATATCCTGTATTCCTCGGGCATCTAATTAGCACCAAGAATAAAATAGCCCTGCAAAGGATAGGCATTTTGCTCAAATAATTTTTAAAAATTGAGCTAAATAATGGCCATTTTATACGGCACACAATATAATTGTTCTTCTTGTATTGGGGGGTAGTTATAAATTATCCGGTGTCCCATTCAGCGCTGTTGCCATGCGGCGCTCCACACAATCGTGGCTCTAGTTCCCGGGCACGTAAATTCGCTGCCTTCTGACAGCTCTCCCGTTAGTGCGGCTCCTAACTAACCTTCTGCATAAAAAATGAAATCCCCATGAAAGAATGAGCATTTATCTAAGTGCCGACATTGAAACATGCTGAATAACTCTTTGAATCATTTGTACTATTATGGGTAGAAAATGTAATTATTGTAATCAGCCTTGAGTTTGAGGCCATGTTGTTTAAAAAAAAAAATTAAAAAAAAAAAAGGAGAGCGAGAGAAAGAGGTGGTGGGGGGAGGAGGGACCCAGATCTGAACAACGAAAATGAACCTTGATAATGGAGCAGCCTTGAATTCCACTTCATTTATCACACTAATGGATGTCAAGATGACCTCAATCAAACATTTTGTTTTCCAGTTTTAAGCAATGGAAAATGCTTTCTTTTTTTCTTTCTTTCTTTTTTTTTCTGGAAAAAAAGAAAGTTATTTAAATTGTTCCTAGTAATTACATTAGAGTAGAAGGTCAAAGTCAATATGAAATATCCACCAACCTTTTGATGAGTCTAGTCCAGGGTCTTTACTGACACAGTTCACATATCTCTATAATCCTCCCACAATCCTTACGTTTCTCCTTCCCTATCTTTTATATTAAAATAGAAATCACTTTTCTTTATGGTTTTGTTTCCTTTTTTTTTTTTTTTTGACTCCGTGTAATTTTTCATCTTTCTGAAAAAATGATCATGTGGTTTAAACACCAGCTTCATGACCAGCATATTTCACAAGGACAGGATATAAGTGTGAAAAAAAGGAGCAGAAACAGTAATTAAAAGATGTTTGCAACAGCAGAGCTTCCTTAAAACATCTTGATTTGGTCAGCCTTGCAAAGGCACCACGTAGCAGACTTTTCCAAGCCAGAGAGTGCGGACACAAGCCAATTACTCCAGCAGCTCAGATGTAACACGGCGGCTGGGATTCCTGCTCAGCGACATCAATGCAGAAAACATCAATTCCAAAAGCCATGCAATAGCGTAAGACTCACAGTAATGAGGATCAGCAAAACAGGACTCCTACATTCGTGCCTTTTTTGACAGTGCTTTTAAGGGAAGAGACGTCCGCACCAGTCAGAGCAGGAAGGCCCCAGGCGTCGTCACTGTTGGGTGATGCAGGCCTCAGTTCTGGGCCACATTTGCCACAAAAGATTAGGCAAAAGCCGGATTTAGGAAGAAGAGATAGGGTCAAGTGCATGGACCTAGGAGACCTGCAGGGACCATCGTGTTACTTCTTGAGGTTTGCGTTCGCTATTTCTGTGTTTTCCACCTCTGGTGGGATAAGGGTGCTCTCTGGGAGTATGTTGCACCACACGCTGCACTGTTAGAAGCACGTCTTGATTTTTGATTTAGGAACTTTAAAGACTTTTCATGGTACTTTGGATGGCGTTATCTGAAGTAAGAAGAAGTCACATAAGAGATTGCCTGCTTGCATAGAAAAAGAGAACATGCAGTAGATGATGTGCAGGAAAGGCGCAAGGTGCCTCCAACCCCGATAACACCCTGTCCATCATCCAGGTAACTGCAAAGCTCCTCGAGGAGCCTGTGCAGAATAACCTAGTTTGAAATGGTCAGAATGTTGTAGAATAGCAGCTTCCCTTTCTGTACCAATAAGTCAGCATTTAGAATAATACTTTGGTTTCACAGGATTAACCTGTGGGACAAAAAAAAATATTGCTGAGGAAATAATCCCATGCCGCTTTGTGAAGGCCACTCTGCAGCAGGACAGACAGGGACTGGATTGCCCGAGTGCGGCAGGGAGGCCTCCGCATCCGTGCCCGCGCCGAGAGCGGCCACGTAGCAGAAAGGACTGAGGATTAATAGGTCTGAATTGAGGAAAGCTGCGCAATATTTAGAAGGATCCTTGAAGGAAGGTGGGGAATAGGCTTCCCTTTCTATCCTGGGAAGCATAGCGTGTTGTACAGTAACTCCAGGCTGAAAAATAGGCCTGTGAATCATAAAAGGGGTGGGAAAAGAAAGTGTGGACATTTTTAAGTTGAGCCTTATAAAATAAATAAATCCGTAGACTACGGCATAAACAGTTGCCTCCTTTCCCCCACCTCCAAACACTGACTTAAGTGATTGGAAACATTTGGGTTAGAAAAAAAAGAAAGAAAAGCAAAGCAAAAGCTATAACTGTGTTTTCTTCCCTTTTTCCGCCAAATCATGCAGAAGATGCTGGCAGCCACAAAGATTCAATTATACACAATGCAAAAAAAAAAAAAAAATTAAAAAATGGCACTTGAGAAAAAAAAAAATCGCCTCTCCAGAAATCGCGTGGAACAATAAATCTGTTAATTAGCTAATTAATATTCAATTGGGGTCAGTGGGCTTAATAGCACCTTTGCGCGCGGCCCGGGCGCCGGGGGCT